CACCACCACCACCACCAGCACCACCTCCTTATCCTCCATGTGTCTCCATCTCTAGCCAACCAACCCTAACTCAATAATACTGATCTTAAAGTGATTTGAGAGGCGTTCAAGGCAGACAGCAGAGGACAGGCAGACGTGTGGCCTTTCAGAAAGACAGCAGGGCTGTCTCAACAGTCAGTTCAAACAAGGAAAACGTACCTGAGATCAGACAGAGGAAGAAAGAGAGACGTGCACAGATATAGACACTGCTGTGATCTGTATGTGTGTGTGTTTAAGTAAGAGTCTAGTAAGGAATGATTTTTTGTTTTACAGTTATTTTAAATACTCAGGTCTAAAAATGCAGAGCTTCTAACCTAAAAAATCTCGAGAATTATCTTGGAGTCAAAAGCAAGGCTTGAAACATAAATACCAAAACTTTTCCCTTCTGCTTAGAAATTCTCTGGCACAAATATCACTGGTCACTGATGACAGGGGAAATTATCTCGATGAAATCAATCCTGCAGGTAAAGGAAATCCCACAAAGTTTTCCCACTGAAAATAGGTCATAATGAAATCATCAGCTTCCAAGGAAATTCTAATGGGTGTCTAACTAAGCTAGAAAACAAACAGGGACTAAAAGATAAATAACGGTTCATGTTTTTGGCTTGAGCACTGTAAAAGCTTACAATAATTGGACATAATGTACTTTGACATTTTTGAGACTGTGTGCTGAGACATTTGAGCTTCTGGAGGTGAGAGAGGACGAAGCTTCAGGACACTTGTGAGGTTAACAAGCAGCAAGTAAAAAAACAGGACAATGTCAACCATGGCTCACATATCCATATGCAAATATCCAAATATCAGATCAGTGAACGTTATGGCTGCTGAAAAAGTTAAGTTACAGTTGATTAAAAGAGTTTTTGTGTGAACTGAGTTTGTTAAAGATATTTTGCATATACATGAAGGGACTGAACATGATAAACTGAGAGGCCAGAGGAAGACCAATAACTCTAAAGACTGAGAAATGATATTATTTTAAAAAAGATAATAAATGCCTATTATTTTCAAAAACGTATTGTTTCAAATCTAATTAGCATTTTGTTTTTCTGTAGGTCTTTGCAAGTTGTTACTCAAATATGAAAGACAGACAAGTTGAAAATTGTAGTAAATCCAACATGATACATTCTTCATTTCCTCTCCCTTGTAGTTTCCAAGCTATTAGCAGGATCTTTGAAAGAGATTATCAGAGCCCTGAAATCAATGAAAAATAATTAAAAAGCTTTTTTCTGAAGGGCAGACACTTGTCTGAGGGTGTAAATGTGTGTTTGAAAGAGAATGTGAGTCTTCTGTATAAAAGCATGTTGTGGGTGATGGATATGTTTTGATACATTTGAACTAACTGTCTATGATACATACAGTGCTTAACAGATTTATTAGACCACCTCCCAATGTAAGGTTTATGCTACAGCTGCTCTAAATGAACAGTAAGGATAATTACCAGTATCATGTTTTATGTTTTTGTAATAGTTAATCCACCAGTATGCCTACACTCTTTAATCAAAATGATATTTCTAATTTTAAAATATAATTATATGTATTTTATAAATATGAATTGTTTTTAATTTACAGTTTTACAAATTAGAAAAAAAAAAAATAACCATATTATTATATTTTGATTAAAATGCCAAACAACAATTATTTACTTGGATACCTGCACAGAAAAATTTGTTTTAGTTGTTTAATGTCATGCTTTAATTTCTGACTGTTCAGAGAAGTCCAATGTGCCGGCTCAATATTAGGTATAAAAATGCAGATCCAGTTCAGTTAACTCAGTAATTTTTAATCAAGTTTTTCACAGATTTCTTTTTTTGTGACAGGTGGTCTAATAATTTTGTTAAGCACTCTATAAAGAGAGAATGAGAGATAGCGAGCAAGAGAGAGGGAGAACTCGAACAAGCACTCAGAGAGAGAGAGAGCCAAACTTTAAAAATGAAATCTTTTAAATTAACTGTTGTAATGAGTGAAATGACCAAATGCACACAGAGGCTTTTTCTAAGCAAATAAATGAGTTCTGCTGCTCACTCCGTGCGGGATGCTGCTTGGTGACTCATCCACTAGCTACATATTCTCATTTGCTACATAGTTGAAAGTAACTGCTGTGATGTGCGTTTGTTGCCCAGGGTGGTGATCAGGACAGAGAAGACACACACAGATGTTACTTTGTTGACTAGCACGGGGAGTAATAATGGAGTTTTCACATGAGGACAAATGTGGTGTGACAGACAGAAAGAGGAAGAGATACGTCTAAGAGCTCGTGTGTGACAGTTTGTGTGTGTGGGTGGTTCAGGTGGCTAGAAATAATTAGTAAGAGGAATCAAAAATACACGAGTACATGCAAACACTGCCTCTCTCTCGCTCTCTTTCACACACACACACACACACACACACACACACACACAC